TAGGGAAAGCTGTAGCTCCAGCACCTCGTTCAGTCCCTGGCATGCAGTGGGTGTCCCATAAATGCCCCCCTTTTCCTTCTCCCTCCTGCCTTCACCTGACTTCACCTCCTCCACCACCACGGTGCCGACCTTCCAACTCACATGAAGCACTTAACTGGCCAAGCACTGGCCTAGGCTTTTCTCCATCCTCACAATAACTCTCTGAAGTCCTATTATTATCTTCCCTTTGCCGTTGACAGAGCTAAGCCTTGCAATGACATAGCTAGGGTTGGAGCCAGAACCTTCCAGCCTACCCACTTTGATGTGTGCTCATCTTTGCGGCTACGCAAGCTCCCAGTATCCTCTTGGTTTCCCCGGTACACTTCCTGCTAGGGAGATCAAGGAGCTTGCCCATGTGGTCCAGGTATTACAGCCCATGGCACAAATCTATTTCTAAGTATGATGTACTATCCCCCAGAGTACCACAGAACCTTTGGAGAGCCAAGTTTTGGACCTTGTACCCTGAAGGCTGCACCCATGACCCGCAGAGACCCTGCAGCAGCCCCCTGGGGCTCAGGCTGCCCCCTCTGTGCATCCTCACCTTCCGCAGCTCAGATGGCCCAGCAGCAGGGGACCCTTACCTGGTGCTCCCGCGTAGCCTTCGGCCCTGGGGATGGGCCCCTGCCCAGTCTGGCCGTCCACGCCCCGGGGCAGTCCTCGCCCCGACATGCCCATCCTGCCCGGGGGCCCGGCCTCTCCAGTCTCCATAATGACCCCGGTGGAGCCAGGCAAGAAGGGCAGCCCCGTCCAGCCTGGCCGCAGCAGCGGGGGCAGTGGCCGGGGGCGTCTCTTGGGCAGGACAGGCTGCTGGCCTATGTACGGCTGCTGTCCAGGGTCCTTGGACGGCGGTGGAGGGGTCGGCGGTGGAGGGGTCAGCGCTGGAGCAGGTGGCTTGGTGGGGGCCTCTGCCGGGTGCGGGGCCTTCCCCTGGGGCAGAGGCTGGGGTGCTGCTGAGGGCTCCTCCGCTGAGCATTTGGAAAGTGGAAAGAAATACACAGGGTTCAAAACCTCAGACTTGACTGCTTGACCACAGGCCCCTGTGTGAGACTTCCGTGAGCATGGCTCCCTGGAAGGTGTGTGCTTGGGGGGCTGGCCTGTGGCCTCTGCGGGGGTCCCTGGGCTGGGCCCACCAGCAAACACAAGAGCAGCCACCACAGAGTGGGGACAGCCTGCCTGGACCCCCCTGCCCAGGGGAGGGGGATCTTCCCCCCCTTTCTTCATGATGGTCGCACTCTCCAAAACAGCACCCAAAACTCCCTGATTTCACTACATGGTGATACCACAGGGGTATCTGCCTGCCTGCTGCCACCCACGGCCTTGCATTCTCTCAAAGAAGCTAGTCTCATGGTCACAGTGGACAGCCTCACAAGCCGAGGACCTGCTGGGTGCAGACATCACGGGACCCAGGCAGGTGTCAGGGAGCTCGGGCTGCCTCTGCAACAGGCACAGCTCCCAAAGGAGCGGCAGTGCCCCCCACCTCTCACCACAGCCTTAAGATCACCAACTGAGGGAATTTCCACTGCAGAAAAGTCCTGATTCACATTTCCCTGCCCTCTTGGGATGGCGCTATGACACAAGCGGGAAGCTGCCACCCTTTCCTCCTATGAATACATTCCTGGAACTAACCTTCCTGAAGGCCTGTAAGACATCTAAAAATAACCAGGACTGGTCACAATACCATCCTCAAAAGCCAAACCCCACCCACCTCCTCAATCTGTATTATGCCTGCAATGGCCCAGCTTCCAAGGCTACAAAATTATGACCAAGCAAAATCAGTAACTGCATTGTGCCCCACTGCCTAGTTTTGTTTTAAAACTCACAAAGGTAATTATGGCAGATCGAACCCATGCGCCCCCTCCACTCACAGGTTGCTAGCCCACCTCCAGCCCCAAAGGGAGACTATTTCTCAAATAGCCTTTCCCACCCAGTACTCCATGAGAGGATTAATCCCTAAGGAAAATGATTTGAATGAAGTGATCACTTTTTAATTTCCCCCATGGATGGTAAAGAACTAATACCATTCTAGATGCACTGAAGATAAGTTAATTCACACCATACAGTGGAAAGGCATCAGGCCTTAATTCTCTTCAGGACTCTGGTGGGAAGAGTTGAGCTGGGCATAGAAACTGAGGCAGAGCAGCTCCCGACGTGGGGACACCACCAGCCACAGTGAAGGACAAGAATGAGAAAGGAAACCAACGAACAAAAGGGAACTTTAAAGAGATAATACAAGAAAATAAACATGTAATAAGGCGTGCTCCTCACTAGCGAGGATGCCCACAGGCTTCTCCAAGTGTGTAACTTTAGCTTCTGCCCTAAATAAACCGCTTCATTGCGTGCTCTCCCACACGTACTGTGCTTCTAATAAACGCTGTGCCTGCTTTAAACAAAAACAAACAGAAGTAATAATCTCAGAAACAGAAGACACTGCATCCAAAGTATAAGAATAGATTAGTATTAAGAGAGGCCTAACCAGAGAATAAAGCTGAGTCTTTGCTGATTAAAAATATACTTGCCAAAATAAGAAAATTCAATGAAACAGTTGGTAGATAAAATCAAGGTGCTCTTTCAGAAGGTAGATCAGGAAGAGAAAAGAATGGACAATAGGAGAGAAACCATAGGGAAATTAGACACTTTCCAACCCAGAAGTCTTTCCCGAAAAGAAAGATCAGAAAAACGGGTGTAGGGATGATGAGGTAGTAAGGAGAAACTCAAATACACAATTTCTCAGAACTAAGAAAGATCCCAACACAATTATTGAATGAAAGACCCAAACCAAAGCATATTCAGAACACTGAGGATAAAGACCATACAAACTGTCAGGGGAAAACTAAAAAGTGACCTCAAATCAGAAGGGCATCATCAGGCTTCTCAACAACAGTACTGGAAACCAGAAGACAAAAGAACACCTTCAAATTTTGAGGGAATATCATTGCTAACCTTGAATTCTATACCCAGCTAAAATATCTGCCAGTTGTGAAACTAGAATAAAGACATTTCCAGGCATGCACTATTTAAAGACAAACAAACAAGCAAAACTGTCGAGCACCCTTTCTTAGAAAGCTATTGGAAAATGTACTCCACTGAAACAAGGGAGTAAACCATGAAAGAAAGAAATGCAGAGTAAAGGAAAGGGTCTAAGACAGGAGAGAGGTTCAAGGAATTTCTAGGATGGTAGTGAAAGAAGTTTCAGATTGAAAGCCTTAGAGCAAGTCCAGAGAATAAGGAGTCCAGACTGGGTCAGGAAGAGAGAATCCCGGAGAGAGGTCACTGATTTAAAACATGGAACTGACAAATGATCTGATAATTTTTATGGTATTGAGAGGGTGTCAGAGAGTGAGAAGAATCCAAAACAGATATGTAAAATCTAGCAAATAATAATGCAGCTCTACTACTAATTCAGAGGAAAGCAAAACGAAAAGCAACATGATCATATCTGGCCATTATTGAGCTGTTTAGCTCCTCATAGCATAAATACTGACTTGATTTTTGTGGCATAACTCCACTGGGAGCTGGGAGGAGGGGAAGCAGGGGGAGACACGAGAGAGCCTAATACATAGGCTAATGTCTACAGCTGATAAGTGATATACATAATGTGAAATAATACCCATATAGAGATATCTAAAGCTAATAAATTGATGGTAAACATCGGGGGGAGAAAACAGCTGAAAGTGGCACGTGGCCACCTCTGGGGTGAGAAGGGTAACAGGGAAAAGGGGGCAGGAAAGCTGGTTTTCATTATAAACTTCTCAGAACTATTTCATTTTTATAAGACATAATTATGGAAGACACCCAGGACCTGTCTCTAAACTCTCTTCCCTCCAGTCCAAGCTCAGGTCCTTCCTTGTCTGTCTCCCCTCCCTCCTCACGCTGTTTCCAGGCTCACAAGCTGGCCTCCCTCCCAGGGGCACAGGCTCCTGCCCTAGCCCCACCTCCCTTCTCTGCTGGAGATGCTCCTCCAGCATCACTCCTCTCTCCTCCGTCTCTTGCCTTCCACCCCACCAGCTCCTTCCCTTTAGCCCATGTTTATGTGTCTCCACCCAAAATTTAAAAACAAGTACTTTTCCTCAGTCCTACAACCCTCAATGAATTACAGTTGACAAAGCACCTAAAAATAGCCAAGTACAGGCCCCTCAACCGGGTCCTTATTTTCGTACCTATCCCCCCCAAACCCTTCAAACCAGCCCTCTTTCTCTGAAGCCCCCGTCTGTCGCTTGCCCCATCACCTAGTCCAGGTGCTCTCGCTTATCACACACCCCCCGATCTGGGCTAAGTCCAGCTGATTCTAATTTTGAATCGTCCTTTGGGTCCTTCCTCCACACCTTTCTCAGAATACTCTTAGAACGCATCCTAGTCATCCTCCTTGCTCAGAAATCTCCGGTTGTCCTCCACTGCTCATAAAATCCAACAGAATCTCCTCTGTCATCCATGTCCCCACCCCCTGCCCCATCGCCTCCTGCCACCTTCAGTACCCCCACTGGGGCCTGGTTCTCATCTGAGCATCCCTGCCTTTGTGCTTTGCTGTTCGCACTCCCTAAAATGCCTCTTCAGGTGCCCTCACCGAAACACGCCTCTCCCTGCAGTCCTGGTTCAGATACCCGCTCCTCGTGAAGCCGTCATGAATCTGCCCATTAGGGCTTGAACATCCTGCCTCCGAACCATGAACCACTTTGGCCTCTCAGGGGTCTTTTCAGTTTTTTTCATCTCTCCTTTCTTGCTGGATGATGAGCACTTGAGGACACATTTTAATGATCTTTTATCCCCAGGGCCTGGCACGTGACACTGAGACATCTAAGTATTTGGTGAATGAGGGAAGGCTGTAAGTACAGCAGGTACCATGGGCTGCACCCTCACTCCTGCCAACCATTCAACTAGGCGCCCTAATTTTGCCAACGATAATCATTCTGGGGTCCTATAAGGGCAATGCCAGTACCTAGAGTCAGTGGTGGTTCTCTTTTACGTTCATCACTCCCTCAACACCCAGGCTTGTCATAGCAAGTGGAAGGTAGAGGGAAACAAATGAACAACCTGCTTGGGCCAAATATCCTCCACCAATCTCTGTGGGGAGTCCGTCCAGCACACTGTGCAGGACAGGCGGCTCCAAAACACCACTCACATCACAGCAAAGACAGTCATGAGAAAGCGGCCCTGGATCCAGACTGCTCCCCAGCCCTGGCCCCCAACACAGGCTGAGCCCAGTGCATCACGTGGTGTTTCTAATGCACACATTTATTACATGGTTGTAACAAAGGCTGGACAGCATCTTGCTCATTCTGGAAAGATAGCTCTGGCAGTCAACGTCTTTCTAAAGCAAACATATGTTTCTAATCCAGAGAGTGACCATTTGTACCGAGTTCCTCGTAAGAGCCAAGTGTTGCTGCCCATGTTTCACGTGCGAGGAATGATCAGCCATACGTGTGCTTGCTCTTGTTCCAGAACTTGCCCCAAGGCGTTGGTCCTGATGCCACAGTGTGGCCTTGTGCCACTGTGTGCGGGATGGGCAGGGCCACAGCCTTACCAAGGATGGACCTAACACCATGTAGGAAAGGCCACTCCCTCTCCATTAAAGTTCTTATTAAAAGCCAATTTCAACTTTGCTAAGACAAAGACCTGCCTAAGGAAATCCGCAACAGTCCACGAGACTGACATGCCTTCCTCCGCTCTCAGGAGCCTGGGTGGTCTGGCTCCTCCTGCAGCCGCCAGAGAACCCTGCAGAGTGGCAGCTAAATCGCCCAAGTTCCAGCCCCGTGGCTGGGCCTGGCAACTTGGTGGTATCTCGTCACAGAGCAGGGATGCGGGGACAGACACGGGCCTTGGACGTTAGTCTTGCTGGTGGTGTGGCTGAGGGAAAGCCACAGAAACCTCCTGAGTTATCAGCTCAGCCATCACTCAGGCTAAACCGGCAAAGCCTCCTGACAAGCAGGCGGAATCGGTGCCAATCAGATGAAGT